GTCAATTTGAGAGAATCCAAATCCTTTAGGTAAAACACTAACATAAAAAAAATATATACAAATTAACAAATCTTTTAATTTTTTTTATTAATTGATGTGACATAAAATAATAGAATTTTTGAATTTACAATTTAAAATAAGACACTTCAATAAGAATAGAAATTTGTAAGATTTATTAATTTATATTTAACTACTCTCATTATAAATGTCATGAATTCGAATGTTAAGTAGTCACCCTAACAAAATCCGTACTCAAAGAAAATGATTTGCAAACAAAATTGTCATATAAAAAAGTCCATTAAGATAAAATTTTATCTTTCTTTTAGTTTAAACTGAATGATTATTAATTTGACATATCATTTTGTATTAATTTTATATATAAAATTTTAATTTGTATATTATTCCTCGTGTCGAAAAATTACGAACAATGTTTTGTACACAAAAATATATCAAGAAAAATTATTGTGATCTAAATTTCATTTTAAATATGAGCCAACAATATGACTTAAATTTAAACCATGTATTTTTTCAAATGCAGATTTTTAGTAAAAAATTATTCATAAATAGATAAGAACCGAGTGTCGGTGCCAAACTTTTTATTGCGGGGTTAGAATTTTGTCAATTACCAAACGCGTTTGTAGTTTATGTTTTTTTAAAAATAAACAAAAACCAGTTTATAAAATTTTTGTAAATATAAACTGAAAACGTAAACGTTACCAAACAGTAAAAAATTATTCATAAATAGATAAGAACCGAGTGTCGGTGCCAAACTTTTTATTGCGGGGTTAGAACCTTGAAGGTGTGTATTATGAAATGCGTAAAGATCCTTTAAACAAAAGCTCACAAGGACGACCTAGTTTTCCCATCAAAAACAAAAAAGAAAAAAGAAAGGGTGAATTACACTTTGTACCTTTATACTTTGTACCAAATCTTACTTTGGCCTTTATATATCAAATCATAACGGTCAATTCCGTACATTTCTAGTCAAATCTCACTTTGTTCCCTATATGTGAAATCATGACAATCAACTCCCTATACTTTTGTTCAAAATCTCACTTTGATTCTTACACACGTGTCAATATCTCTCTTCTGGTACTTTATTTTTAAATCTTCAATAAAATCTAATCATGTGAAAAAAATATGACTACGAAATGAAGGTAAGGGAGAAAAATCATCAATGTTTTCCACCAATGCACTTTGTTCTATGTGATAAGCACGTATACATATATATATGTGTGTGTGTGTGCGCGCACGCGCTAAAAATTAGGATGAAGAGGTAAGAAATAGAACTTTTGAAATAAAAAAATGAGACAAATAAATTAAAGAGAACGGAAAATAAATAGATAGACAACTGTTTTGCTGTGAAAAACAGAATTTCGTGATTCTAATTTATGCGAAATCCTAGTTCATTTCTTAATCGTTCATAATTTGCATTTTATTTTAACCTAATATAGTCATAATTTGATGTAAATTTTGGGATAAAGTGTGTATTGGTGAAAAATATGAATGATTTTTCTTTCTTACTCTCATGTGGTAGTTATATTCTTGTCACATGACTAAAGTCTGTTAAAGATTTATACAATTGAATAACAGAAAAGAGATATTGACACTTGTGTAGAGATCAAAGTAAGATTTGACTAAAGGTATAAGGGGTTGATTGTCATAATTTCATATGAAGGGACCAAAGTCAGATTTGACCAGAAATATAAGGGATTGACTATTATGATTATATGTGTAGGGATTAAAGTGAAATTTGATACAAAGTGCAGAGATGTAAAGTGTAATTTACCCAAAAAGAAAAGAACAACCTAACATGTTCTTTCCATTCTCCCAAAAAAAAAAAAACTAAGGTGATGTTTGATTGTTAGATTAGTTAATTGGCATTACGAGTACAAAAATATTAGAAATTTTAAAAATTCTATCAAATGTCTCACATGGGTGTGGACATTTTATAGAATTTTTGAGATCTCTAACATTACTTTTATGAGTGTAGAAAAATTGACCATGTGAAATATTTCATTATATAAAAAATGACTATTATTTTTAGGATGAATTATACTAATAGTCCCTGTAGTTTGGAACTTCATCGACTTTTCTTTTGTGACACATTTGATCCTGAATTTTGAATCTTGTTCGAAATAAGGACAATTGAAGATATCATTAGATTTTTCAAGGGTAAAATCGTCAATTTGATAAAATATAAACTAATTTGACAAAAATAAATGTCAAACAAATATTTTTGAATTTAAAAAATTATTTCTACCCACTAAAATTAAAATTATGTAAAATTAATAAATCTTTTAGACATTTATTTATTTTTTTTATCAAATTAATTTTTATTATATTTTTGGATGATGATCATGTAAAATTAAATTTTAAAAATTAATCATGTAATTTTTATTAATTTTTATCAATTTTACATAATTTTATCATTGGTGGATAAAAATAATTTTTTAAAAATTAAAAATATTTTTTTGACAATTATTTTTATCAAATTAGTTTATATTTTATTAAATTGATAATTTTGTCCTTGAAATTAAACAATGGCATCTTCAATTGTCCTTATTTGAAACAAGATTCAAAATTCATGGTCAAATGTGTCACAATTGAAAAGTCAGGGATCAAAATAACATGAATCCTAAACTATAGGGACTGTTAGTGTAATTTGCCCTTATTTTTATAATGTGAGAGTAAAACAACCTTTTTATTTCCAATCTAATGAGATATGATTTACAATTTATTCATGTTAATCTTATTACTGGAGGATTCATAGTTTTATGACTCTTTTTTTTTTCTTCTGACCGAACATTTTTTTTTTTGGGTGTAAACATCACGGATATTGCTGTGACCATTGTCACAGTAAGGTCCTATTGTGTTCTGGTGGAAGATTTTTATGAGTCTTTTTCAATGATTTAAATCGTTCATTTTGTAAAATTCATCAAATATATCATTTTTGTAAAAAATTAAGTTAATTAAAAATCCATTATTCTATGATCTGATTCTAATTGTTTTAAAAAAATTATCAACATCATATTAACCATTTATTTTTTAAAAAATAAATGTGCTTTTGCCACGAAATTATAGATATCCAATCCATTTTTTTAATTTTTATTTTGTATAAATGATTTATGACAAAACTATAGATATCCAATCAATTTTTTTTAATTTTTATATTGTATAAATGATTTATTCAACAAATCCTACAATATGAGCAATTTAAATCATTAAAAAAAATTCAAAAAAATCCCCCACCGAGGAACCACACGACCTTGCTATGACTTACTCACAGTAGAATCCCTAGGTCCATCCCGACTTGGGTAGCCTACAGATTCCTAATGTTGAAAAAATGGTTTAATATAGGCATATTTTTTAGTCCAAATTTGAGTGGGGTCCAAACGTCTTTTGGGGTGGGTCCGAAGAGGTGAAGTGTTCCTTGCCGCATGACAAGTCACACGATGAAGACGGAACGTCAAAATCATTTATGAGTGAATGAGAAGTTGACGCCGTTTTCGAGTCTAACATTAATTTTTTAGATAAAATTCATTTGAATTTTTTTAATAAAAAATTATTGTGAGAATTTAATTTAATTCTAAATTCAAATTTTAGTTTCCTAAGTGGTTTCCTAAAGTTTGTAATTGTGGGAATTTAATTTAATTCTAAATTCAAATTTTGGTTTCCTAAGTGGTTTCCTAAAGTTTGTAATTGTGAGAATTTAATTTAATTCTAAAATTCAAATTTTGGGTTCCTAAGTGGTTTCTTAAAATTTGAACCTCTTCGTTTATTTATTAAATTATTCAAATAGTTTAATATATATATGTTTCCAAATAGTTTAAATAATATGTTCCAACAGTTGCTTTGACTATTCCTCCAACGGAACTTTATTCAAATTGTTTGAAATTTTGCAACGGTCAAATCAATGTTTGAATAGTGGTGCACATGTTCAATTTTTTGTGCACCTTTTCATTCAATTTTGGAACCTGTTCGGGCTGTGTATTTTGCCTATTTATACCCTTCAATTCCAGCAGTCTTGGGGAAAAAAAAATTCCATCCGAAAATTCAGTCTGAAATCTTTGTCTCTTTGCTATCCAGATTTCTTTTAGTGCATTATTGTTCATACATAATTTTAGGAATAAATATTCAGAGAGTTAGAACACGGGTTTGGTTCGCCGAACAATTTGTTTTGGAGTGCTACTACAAATTGGTTAAGATCATTGTATCCTGGAAGATAGACGCCACTCAACCGTAAGCACCGTAGCGGGGCGAATCTGTCTTAAGGACAATGTCACACATTTGACTTGATCTTAAATTATTTATTCGGTTCAACAAAATAAATTCTGTAAGGTTTATTTTATTTTGTTTGAATTATTTTAAGTTATTTTATTTACACAGAAGATTGTTCCAACACCCACTACTACAAAAACACATAAAGATCACACTTTTTTTGTGTGATGTATGTTATTTAATCACATCTTTTAAATTTTATTAAAGTGTGATCTTTGGGAGTGTGATTAAAAATGATCAATTTTAGTCACACTTTTTAAGTGTGCTTAATAAAATTTAGATCACATCTTTTAAGTGTGATTAAAAATATTTAGATCACACCATTTAAGTGTAATTAAAAATATTTAGATCGCATCCTTTAAGTGTGATTAATAACATTTAGATCACACATTTTAGGTGTAATTAATAAAATTTAGATCACATATTTTAAGTGTGATTAATAACATTTAGATCACACATTTTAAGTGATTAAAAATATTTAGATCACGTCTTTTAAATGTGATTAATAACTAATAAAATCTGCGATAAAAAAAAGGTTTGATATATTTGAAAAATAATCAATATTATTTTTGTATGCACATTTGATTAATGTAATACACACTATATGCTATACTTTGAATCATAACCACATATTGAATAGAATAACGTCATATATTTCATAAATGAAATTAAATATTCAAAAGTATATACAAAGGAATTAAATAAAAAAAATTTAACTGTGCTTACACATATTAAAAAATGAAAAAACTTAAAAAATTAAGTTCTTTAATTCTTTGACACATATTTTGCATCTCTCCAAGAAATTTCTGACCTGAAAAATGAAAACACAAATTAATTCCGAAACCGCAGAAGCATATGAAGAAACTAATTATTTATAGAGACTATCCTAGTCTTACAAAAGATACAACCTGTATTTTTCTCATCACACTGACTCTTTATCTCCTGCTTCAATAGAAAAAGAATAACCACTTTGATTGAATAATCAATTCTCATGGAAAAAATGGACCAAATATCTTACGATAGCTGAGTATGAACTATGAGGGCAACAATGCTCAGGAGAAGGAACAGGGTTATGCAAACATTTCATCTGTGCCCTTGAATATAGGAAAACTCATGTGTTAAAAGATTTCAGCAGTTAACTCATCATCAGACATGAACATACAGGCAAATTAATAGCCAGAAGAGAGTTGTATGGTTAATAAAACCTTATACAGCTAAGGAAATAAAAGTATTAAGCTATTAATAAAACCTTATGCTCAAATATAAACCAAATCTACATGTTCATATGTATGGTTAGGTATTTTCATCTAACTGATGATGGTGTGAGTTCAGCACAATATTGACACCTATAAATGGTTGCCTCATAGGATGGGGTATATACCCAAAAGAAAAGAATGCACACAGACCAAGAAAAGGGACAGACAAGCAAATCCAATAAATATACCAAAATGAAAAGGGAGGGAAAAAAAAAACTAGTATGCAACTTACCAGGTGGAACTATAGCAAGCGCTAATGCATTACTTTCTTCTAGTTCGGCAGCTTTAGAATTTATTTCATTTAAACCCTGCACTCAAAATGTGCAAGAATCATGAATATACTAATCAGAACAACAAACCCAATTGCAATTAGAGCAAAAGGAAGCTCCCATTACTGGGAATCCAAATTTGATCCAATTAGAAAATCCAATTCAACCCAAATACAACAGTTCCTAGTTTTAAGGAGATTACACAATAATTAATTTTAAAGTTACTTACCAACAGATCCTCAGTTTGGTCAGTTGATATCAACGGTGGAACTTCCTCCTCCTTAGGCTCAGGCTCAGTCTCCTGTTGTGTATCTACCAGTGTTTCTTTATCTTCAGCTTCTTCAACTTCTTGCTGTTCACTTTCTTCAAGGCGGCTTGCTCAGGTTCTTCACTTATCTCCTCATACTCCTATATTGTTGTTAACAACCGAATCAACACAAATATTCCACAAATAAACAATGTCAATACCCTGCTCATTCTGACATCAACATTCAACTTACACAAAATTTACAAATCAACCATACAAACTAGGCCTCATTTTAACACAAATACTTTGGACTGGGAAGGACAAGCAAAAAAAATATTACAAATTGGTCAATAACATATTGTAAACAATTGTGCTTCATGATACCCACATCCATGGTAGCAAACAAAAAATTCCGAGCACATGATGTCGGCACTTGAAATATTGGAACATTATATGTTGTGATGTAGTTTTATGTAAAAATAACATAAAACTAACAGAATTACATTACATAGTGCTTGAACTAACAATTTGCCAACAAATTCTACCAGTTGATGTCTGAACATTGAAATATCATAGGAAATCAAACCTAAATGCTCCTGTTTATTTTGCAGGTTTATTATTAATTTGGGTCACTCTAATCTAAGGTCTTAACAAAACATGAAATAGTTCATATTCATCTAATGCAAGGTGGATATACAAGAGACCAACACATTTTAAAATAATGAAGACCTTGACAAAGCTAACATATAAAAGTCATGTTGACTACTTTTTGGTCACATAAATCAATGAATTATATAAAAAAATAAAAAATAAAATAAAATCAAACAAAATATTTTCAAGGATCATAGAAATCTAAGTTTGGCTTAGGCAGTTAGGAAACCAATCACATATCAATAAAGAATCACCATGAGGATTGATAAAAAATTATAACAACTCAGCAACTAACATTAGTAAGATAAAAAAAAAAGCCCCATTTGCTAGAGCTAAAATGGTTCCAACTTTCAAGACAAATTGATTTCCTTTGCTCTTATTTCTCAAAGAATCAATATATGAAAAGACCTAGAAGAGACTAAACATTCAAAATAAACTTTCTATTTTCAGATTATGAAAATTGAAAATAAAACCAAGTTGAGTATCAAACCTTCCTTCATTTATGGAATTTTAAGATGTACACCAAGTAATAATTTATTCCCATGGTATGTAGGGGATTGCATCAACATGTTTAGACTTTAGATAGCACCAGGAAAAGTTTGTTGATCTATTCTGACATTTTCACATTGTCATTAATTGATGATTCCTTCTGATTATGTTTTATTAAATTCTAGTTTGGGACTCTAATATATTAGATTGAGCAGTGGTTAAAATGGTGAAAAATGATAAAGTCAAGAAAATACATATCTACAATTTACAATTATGACTAACCCTATCTAAACTGATGTTTTGGTTTTGTGCCATTACAGTAGCATGCAATTAACAGAAACCAACGCCGCAAGGTCTAACATAGACTTGGCTTTCCAACTGACATGAAAATAAAAGTAACAAACAATTATATTAGCAGACTTGTAATAGTATAGAATTACAAAGATCACCTCAAGTCTTTAGTTCCTGTGGATCTAGTCTATCAACTATCACAACATGACGTCCTCTAGGGTCTGATAAATATAACAATGTAGCAACGCAATATGTAACAATGTAATAAAAAAAAATGCAAGCAAAATTAAACTGAAAATGGAATTAATTCCTGGAGATGTTTTGATTGATTTGATGTGTATTCAATAAGTTGATAAAGGATCTAGAACATCTCTATTATGATTAGGAACAATACCATTGGGAAATGCTGCAACTGCTTATGAAACTGTTTCCATGCACCATCATCTGGAAAATCAATCGATATCTAGAGAGAATGAAATCAGGACCTCTGTTAGAGATTTGAAAGATCCTAAAAAGTAATTAAGCAATTAAAGCAAATAGGTGGAAATTTGATATTTTGCCTATATGTGTGGGTTCATTTTAACACTTGGGGTTGTTTGTCAACACTTCCTTTTCCTGTTTTCTTTTTTCATTTTCATTATAAATATATATATATATATATAATAAATATAAAAAAAAACTTGTCTTTTTGTTTTTTGTAAACAGAAAAAGGAAACTGAACAAATGACCCTTAGTCTTTAGCATGTCTTGCCAGGGTGCACTTCATGGTAACATTGGTTTGTAGAAGTAAAAACTAATTACAGACACTTCATTTTCAAAAAGATTAATTCCAAACAAATGATAGCTTATCTAATGGTTTCCGTCATAAGAAGAAATCTTACATTGTCTGAATCAGGGAGCTCTTGAAGCCTATTCTTGAGCATAGGAATCCCACTCTCAAAGCGTAAATTAACAAGATACATAAATTAATAGAACAAGCATAAAACTAATAGCATAAACAGCAAACCAGAACCAGCAACAGAGACAGCACAGCATAAACAGGTGCAGACAGCACAAAAAGCACATACAACATGTAGCCAACAACACAGACAGTTTTCTTAAGCAATTTTCTTAATTTTTGCTAAATGTTTAATGAAATTATTACATTTTCAAAAAAACAAAAAAACAGTTAAATGAAAAATATACTTAAGAGACAATACGATAGGACAATACTTTATTGAAATGTAAGGGACAAGCATAACAATTGTGGTACTTTTCTTGTTACATCTAATTTGGATTTCAGTTAGTCTGTTAGAACAATGGCAAGCAAGAGCAGCTCATACTCTTATTGAGACCAAATGACATATATAAAAAACAATTACAGAAAAATTCATTATATAAGAACTGCATAATGGTTATTCACATCTCAAAAACAGTCTAAATTTTCAACCAAAATTAGTCACAAACCTTTGTTCAACCTAACAGGCATCCCTTGCTTGTATAGGAAGGGTTCCATCTCATGTGTGAACTGATCCAAAGAACCTTCTTGAAGCTCCACCTGGAAAATAAGTATAATACATGTGCAGTTTTTAGGAGTTGGGATATATGAGACATACATAATACATAGAATGTATGTCAAACTTTAACTAGCATTCATCACTTTATATATATATATATATATATATATTTTGATCAGCAAAACAAAACTTTATTGATGAGAAGATTCGAACAATGAAAAAGTTCAACCAAAACATCAAGAAAGAGAGGTGAGTGCACAAAGAGTTAACCCAACTAGGTTAGCACCAATTTGCACACCGCAATCATTTGCTAGCACAACACTAAGCTGGTGAGAAACCAACCAAAAGAGGAACAAGACATAGAGAAATACAAGCAGCCAAAAAACAATACAAACAGCCAAACAACAAACTACCAGAAATACAAGTAGCTCAGCACCAGATCCACCATTCCATGCATTTTCAAGCTACTGCCAGTTCATACTTCTATTCCCCATCTCTGAATTAAACAACAGCAGTAGAATTAAACAGCAATAACAACAATTAGCAGCAACTAGCAGCAGCAACAAGAAGTAGAATTAATTGAGCACTACCAAGGGAAAATAAAATAGAACAACAACTACTAGCAGCAGCACCAGCAACTAGATTCACTCCATTTCTGCAGTAGCAACGAGGTTAGCACACTGCTACACACTGTAGCATACATGCTCCAGATTAGAGACTAAATCATGAACTGAGCATTTCAAGTCTTTCAAATTTGATTTTGCCCACATAGCAACTCTGACCTTTACCAACTCAATTAACTCTGCAAAATATGGCTTTGCCTCTTTAAACAGATACTCATTCCTGAATTTCCACACAGGCTAAAGTGGTACAGCTGTAACATTTGAAATATTATTTAAAATGTAGAAAGACGGCTCAATGTCAAAGACATTAAATGCTCTTAATAAAAAATTTTAAATTAGGATGAAGTTGAATTCCTAGAGCAGTGCAAGTTTTTCTTCTATAGTTGGAAAAGTTCAAAGTTGTGCTTTGCTTATGGTTTATTTACACTAACAAACATATCGAGTCAATAAACTAATGTAAATATAAAACAAATAAAAATAAAACGGAGAAAGAATGATGCATTTTGATGTGCTACAGAGAAAGGTGACCATAAAAATCCATTACCTTGAATGGTCCAATGAATAATTTGGTAGGGGAAAAAACCCAAATTGCAACAAAAGTAGGAATCGCTAACAAAAAATCTAAAATTCATCCAATACCATAACTTAAAGAAAATAATCCCATATTCTCCTATTCCGGGGGCTTACTGTCCTAAAGGCTACACTTCTTGGTTCATAAACTAGGATTATGACCTGATGTAGCCACTCACTGAGATGACCAATTCTTGTCAAAATGCTCTTTGAGAGGTGAAACATTTAGTGCTACTTAAGCTTCCTCATAGTAGATCCCAACCTATAATCATGTTGAGAGGTGAAACATTTAGTGCTACTAAAGCTTCCTCATAGTAGATCCCAACCTATAATCATGTGCATTTCAAAGAATTATAGTAAAAGTGTAATTAACTGCCCAACAAGAAAAATATGCATGTGTACATGCTCATAGATACAATTTCCTACGTAACACTCGTAACATACTAAAAGCAATTTATAATTGCCACAGAGATTGTTGGATACAGTAATTTGAACAGTATGGATCATAAAATAGATTGCATTTCAACTGATTTCTACAACATCCCAATATATATGAGGCCTACTAAGGCCATAACTTAGTAACAACAATAACTGACTCATATGTTGATTTTGAATTTCAAATTGTAATAACTTTTCAGGTGTTTTTTTTTTTAATTTTTTAATTTTTTAATTTCCACCTTTTTTCCCATTCAATTAGTTGATTTTCATAGATCACTTATCAGGTGTGTAAACAGTCTAGTTATGTTCTGTATTCTGAAACCATAGCATACTTACTACAATTCCAAGTAAATTCCTTCACATTTGCTATTAAACCCATGAAATATTGGTTACATTTCCACTAAATCTAAACCATTTCACTAAACTGAAATATAATCACAATTGCAATACTTAAAACTCAAATAGCAGCAATTCAGGAAAGCTAAACAAACACTAACTTGTCTAGAGATTTTAGCACAAACCCCAGGAGTACTCCCATTAGCAATAGAGTTCTCAAAAACACATTCCTGAGCTTGAGCTAGCGTAAGCCTCCTCAACATCTCGGCACACTATCCACAGTCGCCGAACCAACCAATCGATGCCTTCATGGACTCATTATGTCTCAAAAATGTAAACGCCCCAGCCATAACAATAAAAGCATGCGAACCTTATCTCCTTCCTTCAATCGAAGACCAATCGAACGACAATCCAATCTGGTTATGCACAGCCCCCCAATTGAACAACACAGAGGCCTTCTCGAGGTAGATGTTCTGCTACGAAGCCTTCAATTTGGTCTTGAAAGCGTCGTACTAGGTGAAATTCACGGCGGGAATCGAGATTCGATGGTGCGGAGAGCTTTGAAGTAGTTTTGTAAAAGGTCGCAGCGGGAAGACAGGGAATCAGCATTGGGGCATTCGAGATCAGAGCGCTTTTGCTTTAGGGTTTGGAGATCGTTTTCGAGGTTTTGGGCTTCGCATTCGGAGTAGTTGAAGGGATGACAATTTGAAATCGACCCGACGAGGAGCCCCGATCCCAACCCCGATTTAAGTGATTTTTTCTGAAAAATACTTCCGACAAGGAGAAGACGGTATCTAAAAATCAATCTCCGATTTGTTTTGGGCCGGGGACGGTGATCAGTGTTTAAGCTCCGATCCAGCCCGATCCCCGTCCCCGGCCCCATCCCCGAATTTTCCCGAAGTAAAATTACTTTTATACCCCTTATATATATATATATATATAAAACCAAACTCGTATATAATATACCAAATCTGTGTTGCTCTCACACTCACTCTCTGATATATATATCTCTCTCTCACTCTCATCTCACACTCACTCTCTGATATATCTCTCTCTCTCTCTCTCACTCTCACTCTCATCTCAACTCTCTCTCACTCTCTCGTTGTTCTCTCTGGCCCCGACCCCCCTCTCTCTCACCGACAGCGACATCACCACCACCGCTGGTCTCTCAGCCCCCTCTCTCTCACCGACAGCGAGCCCCGACCCCCTTTCTCTCTCACCGACGACGACATCACCACCACCGCTGGCCCCAACCCCCCCGACGGCGACATCACCACCACCGCTGGCCCTAACCCCCCTCTCTCACCAATGCCGACATCACCATCACTACCACAGTGATCAGTGTTAGATCCGTCTGTGTGTGTGTTAGATCTGTCTGTATGTATGATCTGTGTGTGTGTGTGTTAGATCTGTGTGTGTGTGTGTTAGATCTTTTTTTTTTTTTTTAAGCTCATCAGATTGTTAACGGTGATGAACAATAAATCTGTTAGATCTAAATTTTTTTATTATTATTTACATTTGTTAGATCTGAAATTTTTGAGCTCATGAGATTATTCATGAGATTGTTAATGGTGATGAACAACATTGTTAATAATTGTTGTTGTTGTTGATGACAGATCTGTTTAATTGTTGTTGTTGTAGTTTGAAGAAATCATGGAACTGATTTTCTTTTTTTTTTTTTTAGTCGGGGACTTTCCGGGGTCGGGGAAACCCGATCCCCGTTAAAGGGCGGGGGCGGGGGCAGTGATGAGCTCCCCGTCGGGGTCGGGACCGGGGACGGGGGGAGTTTCCACCATCGGGGATCGGGGACGGGGAGGGTGATCCCCGGCCCCGCCCCGCCCCGTTGCCATTCCTATTGAAGACTATGTGGTTTTGAATGCTAGCGTAGGGTTTGTGCTTGTGTGAATGTTAGAGAGAAAGAGAAGCATATGGAGAGCTAGAGAGAGAGAGAAAAGAGAGAGAGATACTTGTTTTTTTTTAATATGTTTTTTTTTTTTTTGGTGGTGGTGGTTTTGATATATTTGTTTTTTTTTTAAATATGTTTTTTTTAGTGTTTGGCGCTCGAAATTTTCATTTTGACGATTTTTTTTTCCTGGTCCTACTTTTCATGGCAACAATTGCATATCGTGAAAAGTGCAATATTTTAAACAGCTGGCTTTTTATGCGTCGTGGAAAGTGAAATTTTTAACAGCTGGTTTTTTGTGCGCCGTGAAATATTTAACATTTTTAACAGCTAGTGTACGCCTGTCGTGTATAGTTGATGTATTGACGGCATGCAATATACATGTCATCGAAAGTTTTATTATTTACAGCTAACATTGCAATCTGTAAAAAAAAATAATTATCATTATTAGCATTCATGACCTACGCAATAGACACGTCGTGGTTGGAAAATTATTTACGACATGCAAAAAAAAAACAAATTGTAAAAGTGAGAAACCACGGCATGCATTTACTATATGTCGTTGATGTGAAGCCGTAAAAACCCAGTTTTGTTGTAGTGATTCATATTCACATAGTAGATGAGGAAACAAAAATATTGAGTGAAAACATACATATGGTTTTGGCAACTGATCTTCCAGAAAACAGTATAAGACCACTGATTGACCCGAAAATGCCTCATCGACATCCTTGCTGTTCAAGAGATTGATGGCGAGCTTGAGGCCCTCAGTGACTAAGGAGGTGAAGCGGAAGAAGCTGAAGGAGACAACTTCAAAGACTAGAAGCTTCTTGCTGGCGACGATGCCGGCGTCGTAGGTGGAGGGCTTTTTGAGGCTTTGTTGGTTTAGAGTGATGAGAGAGGCCCCTCTGAAGACGACGACCGTAAGAAACACTCTGCCCCCAACAGTATTGAACGCACTACATCTCCTTCTCTCTCTCTCTCTCTCTCTCTCTTTGTGCCTTTTAATGAACCCTAGCCTTCTACTTTCTTTTTGATTAGAAGCAGCCAAAGAGTTAAATGTATTTTGAATTTTTTTTTTATTTATAATTTATGTTTTGGTGTTGGGGCTTTTTTTTAAAAAAAATTTGGGAATTGTATATTTTATATAAAAATCAAATTGGAATATTTTATACAATCACACCTATTTAGAGAGAGAGAGAAGGAGATGTAGTAATGTATATATAATCACACACATTCTAAAAAGTGTGATTAAAAAGTAGTAGTGTATATATAATCACACTTTAATTAGAAGGTGTGATTAAAAGATATATAAATAATTACACTTTAATTAGAAGGTGTGATTAAAAAATATATATATAATCACACTTATTTAAAAAGTGTCATTAAAAAGTAGTAGTGTATATATAATCACACTTTAATTAGAATGTGTGATTAAAAAAATATATATATATAATCACACTTAATTGAAAAGTGACATAAAAAATAAATATAATCACACTCAATCAAATTAAGTGTGATTAAAATATCAATCTAATTTTTTTTTATCACACTTCTAATAAAAGTGAGATTATTTTTTTTGTCAAAGTGTGATATTTAACTATTTTTGTAGTAGTGACCTAATCCCAAGAATTAAGCTAGATGTAGAATTAGGCTTTGTTTGGAATATGTTTTTTAAATAATTTTTTAGCTAATATATATATATATATATTTTTTTTTGTCAAGATTGTAGGATGTTAGTAATTAGTAGTAAAATTAAATTATAACTAATGGGATCATCGTTGCTCCATCAGTTTGAACCCCTAATATTCCCTTCATCATACCTTAGGTGTGGTTACAAGACCATTAGATCAAACCCAAGGCTTAGATTTAGTAGGTTGTAAAATTAGAGGAATCATATGATACATATATTGAAAAAGGTGTATACCATGTGCCCTAATTATAATCTTTGTTGCCTTTGATTATGATCCAATATAGCGTTAGTTATGATTTAGTTATGACTTGTTGTGACGTTTGTTATAACTTAGTTATGATATATATATAGTGATTATTATTTTGTTTGTGACTGAAGTGATATTTAGTTATGCCTCAAGTAAGATTTAGTTATGACTCTTGATTAAGACACATTGATGTGTTAGATATAACTCAGTTGTAACTAATGTGATTGTAATTTCGGTTATGAGAGAGGTGTTTAGTTATGTTTTAAAAATATTTGATTATGGTCCAATCAATTTTAACATAAAGTGATTTGGTTATGAGATTTTGTGATATTAACATTAAAAAATTATAATAACTTATATATAGTATACTTTCTTTTAAGACAGTGTATTATAATATTATCCATAAAATTAACTTTAATAGATAAGATTGTAAGTCATCCCAAATTAATAAGATAAGCCATAAGGTTGGATATAAAATCCGCCTCACTCATTCGTTTTTTTGATAAAATCTTATTAATTACGAGTGCCACGAATATGCAAACTGTCAACTACCTCTTGATGAAAGCTCCCTTCTATATCGTGGCAGCGTGGTGACTGCTATACCTATTGCACAACAGTTGTTGTATAGTCCTATCATATAGGTTTTTTTTGAGTTTATTTTGATAATTCAAATCGTTCACTTTTTAAAATATAAATAGTATAATTTATTTGTAAAGAATTAAGTTTTTTTAATATTATTAACTCTTTCATTCACTCACATTTTTATTTAATTTTATAATTCAAATTACATTTGTCATTTATTTTTAGAAACAAATACAATTCGATGAAATAGTTATGATATCTGATCAACTTAATTTTTTTGCAAATATATTTTACTCGACATATCCTAAAAAATGAACAGTTCGGACTATTGAGCGGTCTCAGAAATGGACCCATATAGCTCCACAACAGTGACTGTTGTGCTAGAGGTGCAACAGTCACCCTTTTTTCCTATATCATTATCTCTTCATATCCCTCTTATAGGTCATAGTTCAGATCTGAACCAATGATTCAAATTGTCTGTTCTGTAAATTTCGTAACAAATGTCATTCATACAAAAAATGAGCTTTATTGAAAAATTATAAAAATAGGAACATAAAATATTTTATTTTATAAAATAGATGGTTTAAGTTTACAATCACATTTGTCATTTATTTTATAAAACAAAATGTGATTTTTTCTTCAGATTTTTATGATAAAACTCATTTTTTGCATGGATGACTTTTATTACGAAACTTACGAAATAAATGATTCAGATTATCAGTGTCGATCAGAATTGGGGTCTACAAAAGGGACTTGGGGTCACTGCTGTGCCTTTGGCACAACAGTGACTGTTGTGTTTCATTTTGTGGTGCATTATGGATTTATTTTTATAATCTGAACCGTTCATGTTGTAGGGTTTGTTCAATACTTCATGCTTACCAAAAATCATATTAATCGGATATCAATAACTATATGATTGATAACCAAAAAAATAAACAAGAAGTTTTTCTTTTGAAAAATAGTATAAAAATTAGCAATTCCATCATATAGTTATTGATATCTGATTAACATAATTTTTGGTAGACATGAAGTACTCAACAAATCTTACAAAATTAACGGTTCAGATCATAAAAATAAGCACATAATGCACCTCAAAATGAGGCACAACAGTCACTGCTGTGCCAAAGGCACAACAGTGACCCAATTCCCTACAAAAGAAGTATGGAGAGACAAAATATCTTAGATTTACAATAAATATTGTAGTAATTAATTTGAGAATCAATTTCTGAATACCATCTTATTCATGCATGGATTGAATGCCCCCTTTTACTAATAATCCGAAGAGAGATACTAGGGATCTCA